ACCCTCCTGCCTCCTCCCCAAAAGAAGGGGAGTGGGGGGGAAAACAGAGGCGAGGACAGCCCCCCACCCGGGTGTAGCACCCCAAAATCCTCCCGGGGCGGCGGCAAAGGGGCCGCACCGGCTGTGACCCACCGCCCGGTCCCCATCCCACTGCTCCGGCCTGTCAAGCCCTGCAGGCAGAGCCCGGCCACAGCTCATCACACCCACCACAGCCCCAGACAGCACTCTCTCCCTTTTATATCCCACTTGGAGCCTTGACATCGATTTTTTTTTTTTTTTTTTTTATTACTATTATTTTTTTTTCCGTGGGTGGCTCACAGACTGTAATTAAGAGCCCTTCTCTCCCGCCTGCCCCAGCTCCCATCTCCAGCAGCTGCCGTTTAAGAGAAGGAAACCCCCTTTCGTCCTCTCTCTCCTTTATAATTTCCTTTTTTTTTTCCCCTCCCTTCTGAACATAAAGGAATGACAGTGCTCCAAGCCAGGGTCTTTTGCATTTCTGAGTTGGTTCTGTTAATTGGAAGGAGGGTTAAGAATCTGCAAGGTCGTTTCAATCTACATCTGACCTTCAGAGTAATCCTCTATGCCAACACCAGAGCATGTCATTAAAATGAGGCCCTCTACCATATCCCGGCATCCCTTTATTCTCTCCTTGTGCACATTAATTGCTCATAAGTTGATTTGATCTCCCTATTCTGCAAGAAGTAAATTGCCCTCTTATTTCGCCATTTTCATCCTGTTTTCTTAATTAGGCCCTTAAAAATCTCTAGGGCCTCAGCCGGGCCGCAGGCCTCATCCTGGGAATAAATTTTGATCTCAGCCTGATAAAGAGTGAGCAAACCCGGAGACTGAACAATGTCATTCTCCCCCCTCCCTCCCTCCACACTATTCTCTTGACATGAAAAGGCTATCAGTTTTTCTCTGTGTTAATATAGGAAATAATTCACACTTCAGGCGTTGTTCTCTATTTAGTGTTCACACTCCCCAGATAAATCAAATCAGGGATTTCTTCTTTTTTTTTTTTTTTTTTTTAAAGTGTCTGAAACTACTTACTCTTTCTCTTCCCCCCAGCCTCCTCACACTCTTTTTTCCCCTCCTTCTTTTAATAAAGTTTCCAAGATTAGCCCCTGTGATTTTCCATCCTGGGAAGTCTATTTTAAGTATTTTAAGGTGGGTTTTGGTTTGTTGTGGTCTTTTTTTTTTTTTTTTCTTTTGCATGTTTAACACCATCACGGGGGGGGGGGGGGGGGAGCAGGAGCCTGGCACGTGGATACACACACACACAGAGGAGCACAGACAGGGTCTGGAAATGTGGCATGTGATGAGTTTTGCCAGGCAAGGTCTCAGCCAGGAAACTTTGCAAGCATATTTTTTCCCCCTAGCTTGTGCTGGGCCTGCAGCAGGTTTGCAAACAAGAGATGGGGAATTCCCTGCCCCAAAGCCTGCCCGTACCAGGGGTCCAGACCCTCTGCAGCACCCAGGGGTGATGCTAAACCAGCCCCAGCAGCGAGGAAGAGGCAGCAAAGCCCCCACTCAGCCCCAGGGGCCACCCAACAGGTCGGAAACACACCTGAGCTCCTGGGGACGGGTCCACCTTCGCTCTCACCCGGCACACACCAGGACGGCCACCACAAAACTGCCCCACACCTGGCACTGGGCTCAGCCCCAGGGACACAACTCCTTCCAGCTCTACTCTCTGGGGCCTTGTGACTACTATTAATTAAGGGGCCAAGCCTGGCTCCAATTAAGCAATCAGCAGACGGGTCAGCACCTCACAAGTCCCAGCTGCGCTCAGCACCAGGAGCTGTGGATGTCCCTGAAGCACCCGGCTGTGGGGCTGGCATCCCTCCAGGGGGACCCTGAAAATCCCAAACCATCCCGGGACCAGCTGAATGAGAGGAACAGCAGTGCCTCCCCGCCTCTAACCGAGCCAGGTTTTCCTGCAAATAAAAACCAACCACCCCAGCCCACAAGAAGAAACAGCCCACGCTACAACGCTCCGGGATGTTGTAAATAAATATATTTTAATGATTCTTCTTCCATTCCAGTTCATTCTTTTATACATTTATTTATAAAACAGTAGTAAAATCTTTTAATCAGAGCACAGTGCATTAAAAAAAAAAAAAAAAAGAAAACAAACAAAAACCCAAAAAGATTTTAAAAAAATAATAATAATCCACAACTGTTTACTCACGGCTGGGGGAGACACCACGTCTCGTGCTGAGCAGCCAACAGTGCTCTGCCCACCGGTGCCCAGAGCAGGGCACGGGTACCACCAGCGAGGGCCCAGCAGAACCACCTCATAGCCACGATAATCCCAAGCGACCAGGGATTTCGTATGCCCGCCCCGAAGCGCCCACGCAGACCCTCTGGTGTCCACAGGTCGCCCATGCCTACAGGTGCTCAGCACGGCGCGTGGGGTGCTGCTGCCCTGCCAGGGGGGGCCCGTTCTCTTTACAGGCACTAACGGCAGCGCACGAAGGATGCCAAGGCCTCCTGTGAACACACGGGGTGAAACAGCCCCAAACCCACCACTGCCCCTCGCCCGGCACCCCGACGTCCCCTCCGCTCCCTTCCCTGCACCCCTGCAAGGCAGCGGCCAAACCCTGTCCTGCTCCAGCACTCCAGCACTCCTCCAACATCTCCTCCCTCTTCCTTTCCCCCTCTCCTCCCCACCTTCTGCACTTCCCCGCACCCTCATGTCCAACAGGCACCTCTCCAGGGGGGCACCGGGGCTGTCCCCCACCTCACAATCGCAAATCCAGCCACGATGGAGCAAGCTTGTCCCTGCTTGGCTGGGCTTTCCCCTTGCGGTCCCAACCCCGTGACATCCCCCATCCTTGGTCCAGGACAGGGTGCACCCAGTGACCCCCATCCCTGCGTGGGCTCCCGTCCATCCAGCCACAGCTCCCACAGCCCGGGGAGGGTGATGCTGTGCTGTAGTGGAGGATGGCAAAGGGGTCTCCACTCCCCACCCTTCCCTCCTCTCCCTGAAAAACTTCATGCGGTATTTTCCCTGTGAACAGCGTCCCCCTCCCCTGCCCAGCTCCCTCCCTGCCACCAGCCGGGCTGAGGAGGCAGAAGATGATGCAGAGCCCAAAGCAGCTCCCCACCACTGAGCTGTCCTGGCTGGTGACATCGGGAAGAGAAAGCCACGAGCCAAAGGCAGAGAGCAGCAGCTCAGGTTTGGCAATCGGTACAAACCATTCCCCGGCCAGAGCCTGGACCTCCACGCCCAGATGTGGGGCTGGACATCCACTTTCAACAAGTATCCCCAGAAGAAAAGTGTAAAAACCCTTTACCCTTTCACCCAAAGAGCCAGGGCTTGGTGTTACGGGGCAGAGGCACGAGGGATGTCTCGAGGGAGGCTGAACGTCACCCTGCACCGTGCAGCCCCTGTCCAGAGGCCAGCGAGGTTTTGGGGTGGTAAGTGCTGCCAAACCCCAAGGAGGGAGGGTCCCCCCACAAGCTGGAGGTCACAGCAGGGGGTTGAACAAGCATCAAACACCCCATCCCAGCCGTTTTGGAAGCCATCAACGTCAACCCGAATTTGTAGCCTCAGACCCAGCTCACTCGGACAACACCCCCCATGCCCCGTGAATTAACATGCTCCAATTAACACCTCTTCTCACTCCAGCCCTGCGACCCGGAGAGGCAGTGGGTGCTCCAAGGAAGGAGGAACCGTGAAGGACGTGGCACCACGAAGCATCCGCAGGGCTCAGAGGCCACCGCTGGGGAAGACTCGTTGGGGACGCGGATTCCCGGAGTGAGATGGCAAGGAGGCAGCAAACCAGACAAAAAAAGCTCTGAGCATCATGCCTCTCCTCTCCTCCCAGGGACTCGAAGGCTCCTGCCCGCTCCAGCTCCGAGCCAGCACCCTGGGAAAGCGGTTTGGTGTAGGAGGGTTTTGCTGAAAAGGCAAAGCAGCCAAGATCACGCTCTCGGGCTGGGGAATCTGCAGTCAGGCCAACGCCACGGCAAGCCAAGAAGGTCCGCTCCAGCTCCTGGCAAAAAAAAAAGCTTGCAAAAGACACGGCGGTACCCGGCGAGCCTGGATCCGAGACCCCCGTTGCATAGAGAAAAGGTACTCCTACGTAGATTCAAGTGCGCAGCAGGACGGGCTCCTCCTGCGAGAAGAGTGCCCTGTCACTTCACTAATCAAACTCGAAGGTCCAGTCCTCGCCCCCAGCGTCGGAGAGCAGCTCCTCGTCACAGCATGTCTGCGTCCTCCATGCTGAAGCTGCTCCGGCGACTGCTGGCCTTGGAAGCCTCCGGGGACATGGCCGAGAACAAGGGGTCGGAGGCCAGGGGCAGCATGGTGTCCTGCATCAGCATCAAGTCCAGCTCCTTCTTGGATAGGGATGGGAAGGAAGCACTATGGCCAGGCTCCAGGGTGTCCGGGAAGCCCCGGGAGCCGTCGTCGAAGCTCAGGCTGTGGGTAAAGTCCAGCTGGTGGTAGGGAGACTGGGGTGGTAGGGGCAGCGCCGGCTGTGGCTGTGATTCGGAATCCGGGGGTGGCAGCAGCGGCTCCAGCGTCCCCTCGTCCCCGCTGGCTTCTTGCTTGACCACCTGCTGAGCCAGCTCGGCCACGTTGACGCCCGAGGGCGAGGAGGTGGGCAGCCCATGGACGCGCGCCTGCATCTCCAGCTCCTGCCAACAGAGCACAGGAGGTCTGTGGTGGGGACGTCACGCATGGGGACACGGGCATTCACGGAGGTTGAAGGGACAGAGGGACCAAGAAGCTTGCAGGGAAGGAGCTCGTGAAAGAAGCGAAAGATGGAAAATGGTGACGCACGCAAAGCTCAACGACACTCGCTGCAGTGGCCTGAGCCTCAGACATCTGGTTTGTCTGAAGACTTTGTTCCTGGTGACTTGACAGCCGTAAGGAGGAGGAGAGCCCCCTGCCCGTCCCCTCGGTGGGGCAGGAGTGAGCTGATCGTGGGGCTGGAGCAGAGCGGTGGGAGGGAAGAGCACAGGGAAGCTCACCTGGATGCGGAGCAGCAGCTGCTTATTCGTCATCTCCAGACGCCGCGAGTGATTCTCCAGGTCTCGTGACCTCTGCAAGTCCTTCTGCATCCTCTTGATGTAGTCCACAGACGCCTTCAGGATTGTCCCTTTGTTCCAGCGCACGTCCCTGCCGTGCGGGATGGAAAAACAGATTGCCACCCGCGTGACAGCAACGTGTCCCCTCACCCCTGCTCCACCAAAAAGCTCCTCTGCGAGTATTGCCTGCCATGTGGACGGGCGTCGAGCAAGCCCACGAGCCCCACAGTTATCCCAGCCCCACAGAAACCACGGATACGTACAGGTCATTGGCCTTGGGGATCAGCATCCCCAACTCTTTGATGCGGTCGTTGATATTAAACCTTCGCCGTCGCTCAACTGCAGGGTGAGAAGAAAGGGATGGCGGTGAGGAGGCGGCAAGAACAGCTCCATGTCCCGCAGCCCCCACTGGCCATGCTGCGGCTCCCTTGGGAGCCACCATTGCACCCTGGCCAGACCCTCCGGAGTAGGGGGGCTCAGGATGAGAAACCTCTGGGGCCAACCCTTTGGCACTTTGCTCCCATCCAACATCCTGGCAGGTCTGACCTTCCCCCAGCGCTAATGAGAAGGACAACAGGGTGTCTCCTGCACCGTAGACATTCGGCAGAGCCAGGAAAGAGGGAGGCGTGGCAGGGGGCTGGGGGGTATTTCCTGAGGGTGAGGTGGGATGGGAAGGGGGACCCAGCTCAGAGAGACGAGGAACAAGGGTGAAGAGTGATGGGGAAAGGGCTGCAGGGGTGGGAAAGGGAAAGCCACGGCACCCGCAGGCAGCCAGCACTGAACTCACTCAGGTTGTGATTGTCTTTCTTCTGGCGCTCTTTCGCCAGGGCTCGGCTCTCAGCATCTGCAACGGAGACCCACAATGTCACCCAGAGGGGACAAGGCTGCATCTCACCCCACAAGCACCCCAGACTGGTGTCAGAGCGCCCCAGCACCCCCTAGAGCTGCCCTCCCCACCCACGGGGACAGGGCAGCCCCGGCCAGTTTTGGCACTCGCTGTCACCAGTCACCACCAGCTCCCCACCGGCTCTGGGGCTGAGATCTTACCTGTCAGCTCTCTCTTCTGGGTGAGGTCGGCAGGGCAGGAGCTGCTGGTGACACCCACAAGAGAGGCCGTCACCTGGGGGTCCCCACTATAGACATTCATGTGACTGCTGGACATCGGCAGCTGAAAACCAGAGGGACAGACGGGTTAGCTCCATCCGGGGCCGTGCGACCAGGCTTCAAGCCCGGCTGCTTGGCCTCTGGGATGCGAGTGCGTAGCCCAGGCAGGTGTAATTGTCTTCCTGAGACCTTAAACCAGCTATAATCAGAGTAGCAAAGAAAACAGGACTTCAAAGGGCACAGCTGATCCCCTCCCACGGCCAACATCTAAAATAGGGCAGATGAATCACATCTGAGAAAGGCTCGGCAGGATGAATCCCACTGGGAGGTACAAGCAGCCATACGGATCCAACTCGGGAGACTTCTGGCTGGGAAACCTCTCCTGGCACTGACATCCACCCATGCTGCAGCGGACGCTTGGTCCCTCCCCGCACCCTTCTCCCGTCTCTCCGGCTTTTTATAAGGGATCCCAAATGTCATTAAAGAGGAAAAGAAGCTGAAGAACTGGCTCTCACAGTTGCAAAAGGGAAATCTTGCTGCCTCCCTTTCCCCAGGGACACCCGTCCCAGGGACGAGGCTGGGTTGGGCTGGCACCCGGGCGTCACTGCAGGGATGTGGCAGGAGGAGAGGTCCCCTCTGTGCCACCTCCGTCCCTGCAAGCGTGGGGCTGCGGGAACCCCCCCGCAGACCACCCTCCCTCCCTCAGCCCAGGGTCTGACCTCTTCCTAACGTGCATCAGAGACTCACTGTGTTGGGCATGTGGACTTCGGGGTTCATGTAGCCCAAAACGTCATCCAGGCGCATGATGTCATCGATGACCTCATCGAACTGAAAAGGGAAAGCGTAAGTTGCCAACGGGCTTCTTTGCCCTTTCCCGCACCTTTGCCCCCCCGCCAGCAGCGCGGCGGCACCCCCTCAACTCCCGCTCGGGGTTGGAGCCGATGTTGAGCA